TCAAACCATTCGCGCAATATCCTTTCAGCGGGAATCGATGGGATATTCCACATGATGATATTCCTCTATCATCACTCATATTTAATAGGGGTGCACATCGGAGGGTGCCTCACGCGACAGCCTCACCATTTTTAAGGGGGGCTGGGAGGCTAATAATAAATAATCCTCTAAGCCGCATGTGATGCAGAACCCCCATTGTACTACTACTCCATCTCTGTGTAGATCTGGAGTATTAATACCAGCATCTTCATCCACTTCATCATCACAAGGATTCACCTTTGTTTCTGCCTCTCCTTGGATGCGACCGTCATCACTAGAGATGTGTTCCACTGCTACCTCGGCCTCATGATCGTCACCATTCACCTGAGTAGCAGTATCCTTATCTGCAGAATTTCCTGTTTAGTATCTGTATGAATACCAGAAGTTGCAGCATCTCTAATTTTGTGGATCTCTATAATGATGTCTTCCTGGATGGTGTTATCAGCTGGTTATACATTATCTGACTTTGGTGGTGGTTTAGATCGTCTTGGCCTTGGTACAGGTTTGGGTCTGGCTGATGGAGACTCTGCCTCAGGTGATGACTCAAGGTATCAAAGTCATAAGGAGTACCGTACAGTACTCTACAGTAGTATGAGGAAACATCATTTCAATGTGGTGGTTAGCCGAGTGGATATCATCTTTAACTAGCCAATCACAATTTTGATATACATAAGAGCCGTCCTCCAGTCTTTGTACTTAACGGAAACCTCAAACAAATGATTTTTTACCACAGGCAGGGCTAAAATCAGTCTTTTCTTCCCATTTGATTGAATTGACATCAGTTACTTGCCACTGCAGCCGGGTATACGTGGGGAGACAGAGCTCCGACTGTACTGTGTGAAAAAATATTTCACACCCACCTGAAGCCGACAAATAACATCATTCGTTCATACAGGTGCGTGGGGTGTATTCGGAGCCGTCTTCAGCTTAATGGGGTTGTCGCTAGAAATATGGAGGGCAAGGATAGGGCTCTTTCGTCACCCACGAGGTGTGAGGCAAGTCGGCCATGTTGGCTTGTACACCCCCTACTCGAAGTGGACATACAGCATGGACGTCGGCTATCGTCTCTTGGCCACAGGACTTGTACTGTATTCAATTGTTCTGTTGCCTGCAACTATACAGTGTTTCCACAATCAAATTCCACGGAGACTTTGGAGAAGGGTGGTCTTGTTTAGAGGGATTAACCAGAGATATTGAACATCTTCAAACAGTATTGAGCAATTGGAACAGTACAGCCTCAATGTTCTTCTTCTATATGGAGTCAGTGAGTACACTAGTGATCGCGAGAGTGAACTTGACTGTAAAACACATGTACTAGGTATTCTAAATCAACAATCAGAAGAACAGTTCTCGATGGATGAAATACTAGAAGCACACAGGCTGGGTTCTCCTAAGCATACCGGAAGAAGGACCCGACCGATCATAGTGCGATTCCACACCACCAGCAGTAAAATCAGATCTCTCCAGTGTCGTGATCTACTGAAGTCAAATGGGTATGGCATCTCCAGCGATCTAACCAGGAAACAGAGAAAGGTATTATCAGACCTGAAACAGAATAATAGAAGAGGCTATTTTAAGAATGGACGGTTTGTTGTTGTTGACCGTGATACACGTGTGGGCTGGGGACAGGAGCCGCCCTCTGAAACAGCGTCAGATGCCCAAGGAACAGACAATGGAAAATAGGGGCGTGACCGAGCCCGAATAAGCAGCCAATCTGAACAATGCACAGTAAGCTGTTTATTTTGGAACATTGCCGGTTTTCTAAATATATATAATGACTTTAACTTTATACAATTTATTCAGCACTTCGATTTTGTGACTCTGTCAGAAACATGGGTTAGTGACTTTGATTTTGCCCATTGTTTCCAGGCCTATAATTGCATTACTATAAATGCTGTAAAAACTTCCGCGAAAGGAAGACTCTCTGGTGGCCTTGTTGTTTTGATTAAGAAACTTTTATTCGAAATATTTGTGAAAAGAATGGCCATTTATGATAATGTTATTTGTACAGTGTTTGACAAGAAGCTTTTTAAGTTGGATAAATATGTTGTAATAGCATCTGTGTATGTGCATCCTTCTGGTTCAAACTGGTATGACCAAAAGCAATGTTGAGTTGAGTTGAGTTGGGCTTTACGTCACATCGGCATTATTCCAGCCATATAGAGAACGAGAACAAGTCTGCATTAATATACATTGTAAGTACAAAGTGGTTTCGTTTCAAAGACACACATTCATTACATTGTCATTTTGGAACAGAGAATATCATAGCACTAAATTGAAAAGCAGGTAAATTCGTTAGTGACATTACACAGTTACAATTTATGATATAGATCAACTTCCCTCAGGTAGTTCAGTATCATATGATTTGAATTGATCTAAATGCTAGAACTGGTGAGGACCCTGACAGCGTTGAAGATAGCATTGCTGATATGTTAGTATTTGATGATATTCATGTGTTATTTGACATGCTGGACACGGAGAGACACTCCTGTGATAAAGTCGTTAATCACTCCGGGAAAGTTCTACTTGAGTGGTGCTCCGCTCTAAACTTGTATATTATGAACGGTCGATGTGGATCAGATGCACGCTCGGGAGATTACACATTCATAAATATACTGGGTAAAAGTGTTATTGATTATGTAATATGAGTGGTTTGATGCAATCTTATGGAATGTGTCTCATCTTATACATATTTAGGTGTGGTATTTTCTAGGAATCTAACTTGGAATAAGCAGCTTATTAGTTCATCGTGGCAATCTAGAAAAGTAATATTTGGTGTTTTAAAATGTCTGTCGAAGCTTAGACCATTACCATATGATGTTTTCTTCAAGGTCTTTGATAGTAAAGTGATGTCAATTTTATTGTATGGTTCTGAAATATGGGGACTAGACTTTGATTTTGAATGTAAGATTAGCAGTGTTATTGAAGAAGATCATGTTCAAGCATGTAAATATTTTCTTGGTGTGAAAACGTCAACTTTAAACCGTGTTGTTCGTGGCGAGTGTGGGAGATACCCGGTATATATTAAGCGTTGTATAAAATATTGGTATACACTGCTGTCCATGCCAAACTCACGCTTGCCCAAGAAATGTTATAACATGTTACTATTAGATATGAGTCATGGTAAATGTAATTGGGCTTCAAAACTGAGAAATGTGTTATTAAAAATTGGATTTGACTATGTTTGGGATAACCAGTGTATTGATAATATTCAGTCTTTTTTATCAGAATTTATGGATAGAGCTATATGTATTTATCAGCAAGTTTGGCATACATCTTTGTCACAAGGTTCTAAAACATATAATTATTCTATGTACAAGTTAAACTTATACCCAGAGCATTATATTAAGCATATAACTTCGGAATTTTCGTGTCGCTTTAGCCAAGTTTAGATGTAGTTCTCACCAACTGAAAATTGAGATGGGTAGATATTCAAATGTCCCAAGAAATAAACAATTTTGTGATGATTGTAAAATGAACTATGTAGAAGATGAGTACCACTTCACGTTAGTATGCCAGGCTTATGTCGATCTACGTGAACAGTTTATTCCAAGGTAATACTACGTATTTCCAACATTAGCTAAATTTAATCTTTTAATGTCAATTGAGAACAGTAATCATATAGTTGGAAGTGTATGTTGACAATTCCATGCAATTCAGAACAAATCTGTTAATGTAGGCATTAGGTATTGTGGCTGCTGTACAACTGCTGTGTCATGGACCGATGGCCTACGTCTCTTGCTGAATAAACCACTTTTGACACAGACAAGGGATTAACAACACGTGGCCTTTCTTCACACTGTACGACTAACGGTTTCCGAACAAGATCCGAAATAGCTTCAAAAACAAAATCAGAATGACTCACAGCTGAACGATTATTTCTTAACTCCATCAGTAATGGTGAAGAATGAAAAGGTCTCTTATATCCACATTCAATAACATCTAAACAATTTCCGTAGCATTAATGTCATGCCAAAACTGCAAACATTGTCCGAGACGGCCCCTCACTATAATTTCAGTCTTTACACTTTCATAACCACAATATTTCGTTTGTAAGGTCAATGTTTGAAGAAGCAAATGTACCTAGTCTACTCTGTGGCTGACTTGCTTCCCGGGTCACCTTGCTGTGGCTCCTATAAGATAGAAACAGTCCCGTCTCCAATGCCGCTACAAAACCTCTGACGAAAAGGGTTGTCTTGCGCTGAAGGAGACGAATAAGCGACTTATGAGAGACATCTTAACAATTACTGACATCACATATTCCTAAAATATATATTTACAAATTACAGCTATATAAAATCATCATGTAAATTAGCCATATAAAACTTCACGTCTTTAACTAAAATATCTTGGCAAGTTTTGGCAACGCTAAAAACTACATCGGGGGAAGTGAAAACTTATGAAAGCCTTTCATGGCATGATAAATCCTTCAAATGAATGTTATTAAGAACATATTTTGGTATAAGATCTTTCCTGATACTGATAAAAGCTGGACATAAAAGTAAAACATGGATTTCATCCTAGACTACATTTTGGCAATTAAAACAAAGTCTCTCGTTGTGTGGTATATTTCCATATCTTCCCGTTTCAACTCTTATTGGGGCCACTCCGCATCTGAACTTTACTTTCGCACTTCTGTGACCTCGGGGAAGCGGGCACTTAACATACCGTTCTGCTTCATAGTCAGTTTTGAAAAGTCTGTAGTTTCTCAATTTGTTTCCTCCTCGTCTTCCCTTTTCGTCTACTGTCCAAATTCCTATTGATGTCTTCTGGTTGATCCATTGTAATGGCAAATGAAGCACCTGGCAAAAACTTTAGGTTATGAATTAACACAAACTGTTGTGCAAATACGACACCGCAGGAGAGACTGAACTCCCCGGGCGTCTCACCCCCTATATATAACCGCTGCCTTGAATTACCCGATGCAGCAGCGCCCTCTGCCTTGAATTACCTCCCTTTATAACTTGTCAACCGATACAAGAGAAAACATTTTTATTCAGATTCACCCAGCTCAACCGATTGAAATTTCATCTTTTTCTCTGGGAGATCAAGCGTTTCACACGCTGTCACATACGTGCGGTGTTGAACACTGACCTGTAGACAACACAACAGCAAGAGTTGGACAGAATAGGACCTAAGTGGACATTCATTACACTGTAAGTAGTGTGTGACGTATTACGTCTTGATTTCATGGTTGCAATACTGCGACGCAGTATGTGCCTTGCTGTCAATCACTGTCGCTTGGTGTAAGATTACTCTCTTGCAAAGCCTCCCTAGCTTCGTGTGGCCTGTATTCAATATTACTTCTTGTCAACATGTTGTGTTGTGTTGTCATTGTTTTAATATTCATGGTATGTTTATTGTGTCTGGTTCAAGTTACATAATCTTTTACAAAATTCCAGCGCTAGGGGAATCCCCTCAATGGGTTTAGTCGATTTCATGATGTTTGACACGCTGTGCAATTTCTGCGTTTTGACCGGCACCGAGTCTGCCTTGGATCTTTGTAATATCATCATCTGTTCATGTGTCAGTTCGCTAAAGGTATTACAAGATAGGTAATATGGCAAACAAGTCTGCATATTGGCTAATGAAAATGTAACGACTCATGCGGTTTGTCGTTTGAAACGGACTATACATGCATAATGCAAGGCAGTTTAGCTGAGGTTGCACCTACACCCTGTACTTCAACCTCTATATACCCATCATAAGGGAGATGCTGGCCATCTGCACACTCTATCTTCAGAATAGCATCTAAGGGCTGTAGAGGTGTAGCTGGTAGGGAGTGAACGTAAAAACTATGGGACACAGTTGACACTGTTGACCCAGTATCCAATAAGGCTCTTGCCTCTATCCCATTTACAAAAACTGTTCCTTCATTAGGTTTACCTATCAGGGTGGCTACCTGCTGACTGCTGTTGGGTGGGCGTTTGTGACCGAAGCCTATGGTTTGCCCCGTCCCATAGGCGTTTTCCTGTTTAAAGAGAACTTCGAATGATCCAGCCTAACTCGACATGCATACTGTAAGTGTCCTGGCTGTTTACATCTGAAGCAAATAGGCTCTTGGGTGACCGGACGTCTAGAACGATGCTGGTCCTGGGGAGTTCTTGAAGTGGTTGATTCCACCTTTGAACCTGTGGTCCTGTGGGGGGCAATGCCCAATGCTGCTCCTGAGATGGGTGTTGTGGATGCCAGTATGATTCTGACCCAAACGCTGTATTAAATCCCTGATGGCCATGTGAGCATTGCCATGGTGTGCTGTTGTCAGAATATAAAGTGTCCCGTTGCTTCTTCAGTTCAGCAACTTCAGTTGTTAACTGCTTCAAGATCCCCTTGATCTCCTTCATTTCTGGATCCTGGACTGCTACAGCGGCCATATTGGGGGTTGCACACTTCTTCCCAGTCCTTGCTCCCCGTTGCTGCAAGTCAGCCTCTGCTCGCCGAAGAGCTCGTAGAAGATCTTCATAACTGTTGCCCAGGTCAAATACATGTGCTGTCAGATCTTGCAGATCTGGTTTAGATCCTGACCATAGCTGGGTCCTCAACATCTCACTCCTGGTCTCCAGTTGGATGGATCCCTGTGTTATGGCGTGCACCATAAAAGCATGCTAACAATGACTGGTTCCTGTCAACACTACCGAAAATACTTTCTAACTTTGAGATGAGCTGTTTTAAATCAGCTTCTGGATCTAGGCACATAGCAATAGTGGCTGCCTTCCCACGCAAACAATGCTGCACAGTATTGGCAACAGCTTGTTGAGACAACGATTTGTTCTGTAGCAAACATTCAACTTGATACTTCCAGACTTCGAATAAAGTCTCGCCCTCAGTTCACCTGAGAAGGATGGTAACCTTGGGCCTTGTGTCAAGGTAACTGGTGACGGAAAACCAGAAGGAGATTGCTTCTGAAATTTTCCTGAACTAACTGCACCTTGAGGTTCATCTTCAGCCTCTACCTTGGTTTGTGTGTAACTCTTCATCCATTGTACTAAGTCCTCTTGGCTATCGGACTTGGGCCGGGTTTTGAGCGCCTTGAAAGTTCCAATCAGATTCTTTACTTCTTATGGGTTGGCTTAGTCATAGTGACAGAAATGAGGGAAGTAGTCAAATGTAAACGAAGAAAAGCAGGTGTGGTAATCGTATAGGTAAATGTCCAAATGTTCGCGAAATGAGCTGGCCATTGGCCTCATGAAAGATGAAAAATACCTTAGCTTGATACAGAAAAAACCGAAAACCCAAAACAATTAGGGCTAAATGCATGAGAAGGTGTTAGTTGTGACTGAGTGCTTGGGATGGTCATGAATTGGCTGGGGCAGCAGGGTAAGGGGACACCCATAGAGTATGTCGACTAAACCTAACACAACAACTACCCAGGCGTATGAACCTCAACATCAAGCCAACAGAAGGAAACACAATCCTTCCTGATCCATGAAACCAGAAGCCTAAACACAGAGAGAACAAACCATGACCATAACCTGTTGAGCAACACAACACCTATTTATGATATTAAAGTAGTTGTTGGTCTATTTACATGAATGTATAAATGTACTTTATTGGGTTTACTGCATGGAACTCAAGCATTCATATATGTTGGGTATTCTCATTCACGCACACAATCACCGAGGTTGAGGTATAAAACCCCACTAAATAACAGCTACGTTTATGGAAGTCAGTACTGAAGTGTATGAGCGCTCATTCTAAGTCTAAGTATTCACAAAACATGCATGCAACAAGATCTAAATTGGCCAAGAAATATTGTGCACGCAGGCACAACCCGGGTACATGATATTCAGAAAAATGTACAAGCAAAAATTCAGAACATGTTCAAACATTGACTTGCATTAAAAAATGATCATGTGTACATGAATTCCGTGTCTAAGTAATGGTTCCCTAGCCGCCGTTTGCAAACGTCCAGTATAACATCAGTACAGATCTGTACAAACACAGTGTATAATATGTGTAGTTCAACCTACACTCAAGTGTCTCTATATCTGCAGGTAACAAGATACAAGTTGTATTTCACAGGACAAAACGCACCTCGCGTCACGTTGTTCCCGTTGGTCACGTCATGGTTCCGTGAGCAGTTGTGGATAGGATCTCGAATGTTCATGACAGCAAGCTCGTCCCCAAATCTCCAGTTAGGCCATTCCTCAATTGGGGGCCCCAATGTAGGAGGACTGCGTCAGTCACGCACAGACAACAGACGCTACTTGTGTTGTTCAATGGCCGATGTTTTATGGGAGATATGTATAGGTGAAAACAACAACCCTGAAACAATCAGGTGTACAATATAATAAATGCAGAGTATTTATCACCAAATTCACAGTACCATGGATTTGAGACTAACACACACTGATACAACTACAAGTTATATCTACAAATGATATACTTGAACAATAAATAGATAAAATATCCAAATTACCTTAGAATATGATCCAAAGGTATGTCCAGAAAATCAACAAGACATGTTGTCACACTGACGATTGAATGTGGAGTGACCACAAACCTTGTAATGTGTAAAAGTGTAAAGCTTAGCTGATTGCCCAAGCTGGCTATAAAGACAAAAGGACGTAGGTGGGGAAGGGCTTATGCTATTGTGCTGTGTGGTGATCATGCGGTAAGCATGCTCAGTGAACTGACTGTGGGTGATAGTTAGTTAAGGCAGGCTAAGTATCATGATAAAATGAAATGACTAAAGCTGTGCAATGAAATTTAAAGCATTTATTTACATGAATTCTAATCAATATACAACATGTTAAAAAAACCAAAATCTGTTACTGTCTCATCATTCTGTGGTATTTTGCAAGTTCTGATATCACCAAACGCAATTCTTCCTCGGATATTTAACAGTCGGTGAGCGCAGTGGAAATATGATCGTCTATCTTGTTTAACTTCGCTTTGCCTAGAATTCTAATTTCGTGGTGTTTCAATGCTTTGCGTTGCAGTCTGAGTAGTATAGGGAATAGCGGTTCTGGATCAGGTCCAACAAAAGCCTTATTTGGGAAATAAGGCTTTGGTCGGACCCTTAGCTTTACCCCTACTGCTTTCCTAACCTATAAAAATTTCAAGCGCCGATATGAAAAAGTAGTAAAATGTCCCCGGCAACCACAATTCCCCAAGGGAGAAATAGAAATGTATTGCGCTTCCTCCCAAGGGGAATTGTGTCTCTCACCGTGAGAGAACCTCACATCACACAAAGTTGTGCCGGCGGGATACGAACCCCCCATGTACAGCTTGCGCAGACTACACATAATGGGATCGCACCACTCAACCGACTGAGCTACCGCGGAATTGCATCATCGCTATGCCGTGTTGACAGGAGGTAACACTGTACCGTACGGTACGATCAATAATTCTTCTCTTACAAACCCTCGGCCTGGCCCATCCCTCAAGTAGTACAAGTTCGGCTCGTCTGCTTTGATGTCCACTTTATCTATGTTGTAAGTTTTGACTGACCATATAGGATCGGTAGCTCGCTTACGACTATCACCCTCGTGTTCCCCAGGCTGGTATAGATACCTCACTAGGGCCCTATCTGGTATCTGTTTCTCCTTCCCACGCAATGGAGCAGCCGACTCTGAAACTATTGATTTTAGTTTCATAGCGTCTGCCGGTTTCTTGCCGGTGAGACGGGTGACTTCATGGTTGATTGCCGAGACCACCTTGGGTAACCTCACGACCCATTCAGTCGATCGTTTTCCCAGATTGGCCATCTCCCTCGCATACTGATGGCCGAATAAGCGCTCAGCCAAAGTCCTATTAAATCTCTCAACTATGGCTTGGCTGCGATGGGCTCCGGCCGTGCCACGCCTGACCCTTGTATCCCGTTTGGCTAGCAGTTGTGACACGACACCCATGAACTCCCGTCCGGGGTCAACTTGCAGCTCTGTTGGCCACGTTAGCGGACTGCGTTTGTATATGCGTTCGAATCCTCTGGCTACCTGGACCGAATCTTTCGCGGTCAAGGGTTCGGCTTCCTTGTAGCGACTGGCTACGTCCACTACGGTTAAGGCATACTTGTACCTCTTGTCGTGGGGTAGGAACAGTAGGTCTGCCTGGTGAACGCTATTAGGTATGTTAATACCGAACTTCCTTCTAGGCACGTAGCGTGGTGGTGGCAAATAGATCTGCCACAGGGCTTGTTTTTCAAGCCACGCTT